ACCCGTCGCTGTTTCTTCGCACCGACACTTCCCTGCCGCCGTTCTACATCCTCGTGTACGGCGACGACTTGGTCTTTGCCACAGCGGACACTGCTGGACTCGCCTACGTGAAGTCCGAGCTGCTGAAGAGACACACGTGCACAGACCTGGGTGAACTGCGCAGCTACCTTGGCTTGCAGATCACTCGGGACAGAGCACGTCGCACCATTACCCTGACTGAGTCACACATGGTGCAGCAGGTCCTTCAGCGCTTCGGCTTCACGTACTCCTCGCCTCAGGCCACTCCTCTGCCTACTCGCCACTCACTCTCAGCTCTGCCTTCGGATGAGTCCGTAGAGTCGAGTGGTCCGTATGCAGAGCTTGTTGGCTGCCTCATGTACCTGATGACCTGCACACGACCTGACCTTGCATACCCTCTGAGCATTCTTGCACGCTATGTTGCTCCTGGGAGACACAGACCGGAGCACATGGCTGCAGCGAAGAGGGTATTGGGCTACCTGTGCAGTACGTCGGGCATGGGGCTAGTGCTTGGAGGGCGGAGTCCAGTGGTCCTTACCGGCCACGCGGACGCTTCTTGGGCTGACGACCAGGCTACGCAGCGGTCGTCACAGGGTTACACCTTCAGCCTTGGTTCCGGTTCTGTCTCGTGGCGGTCTACTCGCTCGTCTTCGGTTCTCGGCTCCAGTTGTGAGGCTGAGATCTACGCCGGGGCCATGGCTGCACAGGAGCTTCGCTGGCTCACCTACCTGCTGACCGACCTTGGAGAGCCGCCTCGTTCTCCTCCAGTGCTGTACGTAGACAACAAGGCCATGCTGGCCTTGTGTCGAGAGCAGCGCTTGGAGCACAGAACGAAGCACATTGCTCTCCGCTACTTCCTTGCTCGTGAGCTGCAGCAGCGTGGTCAGTTGCGACTTGCTTACGTGGCCTCTGAGGCCAACACTGCTGATGTGTTCACCAAGGCACTTGTGCCTTGTGACCATCAGCGCTTTTGTACCCAGCTGGGTCTTGTACCTGTCTTGCCTCACTTGCTCTCTTCTTGACTTTACTTGTACTTTGTCATATATATACCTGCTCCTGCTTGTCTAGTTTTATATATATGTCTGTACTCCTGCATGTGAACTGGCCTCTGGCCCTGCTCTTGTGCTCGGACTGTGTGGTGACTTTGTGATCCACCCTGAGCTTGCTTTGCTTTGTTTGACTGGTCTTGTGACCCCTTGTTCTCCCCCACTTTGCCTATGGGGGTGTGTCAGATTATTATAGCTGATGCATGTTTGTAGGCTATAGTGGGGTAGCACTTATGGGGTACAGTTTGCTAGGGTTGTATTTGTACCCAACTCTGACTTAGTCAATTCATTTTTCCTGTTCAGTTAGTTTCACAAGTACTTGTACCCAACTCTTTTATAGTGCATTCATTTTCTCGTTCATTTTCACAGAATGAACTTGCAGAGTGCGCAGAATATCGAATAACGAGAATGAGAATTACAGAATTTCTTAATGACAATACAATGGAAGTGACGAGACTTAAATAGGGGAAGTCATAGCAAGGCGGGGAGGTTGGGCGAGGATGGCTTGGTGATGGATCCGATTGGAGCGGAGGCCGACTTGGGAGTAGTTCGGCCGACGAAATAGGCCAAACAGGTTTGCCGCGTGACCTTCGGGATGTACTCGCTAATAACTGACTAGAGTAAGGAATTATAATTCCTTACAACATGCAATTGTGTATCCGTTAACACGCGTCGCAATCACGCGCAACTGAGCAACATTTCTGTAATGAATATACATTCATTACTGCAGAAGCTGCTCCTAGCGAGGACAGCCCGAGCACTTCGCGTCAGGATGGCTCGGGCTACAATTCCGCCCCGAACCAATTCCGAGTCGCCCCGCACCAATCGCGACACTTCCAACGCATCCACGTCCCGAGGTCCTCGCCTAGCTCGGTTTCGACCCTATAAATGTGTGCTTCTTTATCATTCAGTAATTCTGCAATTCATTCCCTTTATAGAAGTCTTCCGCGCACTCTGTCTAGTACTCATAACACTTGGTATTAGAGCTACTTTCCTAGCTTCCTCGTTTTTTAGAGTGTATACCCCTGGGGGGGGACAGGGAACGATGCCGTGGTTACTGGAGCAGCGCAAGAGCCGGCCAGGAGAACGGGTAGTTGCTCCTAGCGGCCATGAATTTCAAGGCGCTCCTGCGGCACCGACGGATCCTTGCCACCGACGGTAGAAATGGACCGTGGCCTCCCTCTCCCCGGGTGGCGGACAGCTTTTGCTGTTGTCGCATAAAATGCGTAAGTTAACAGTGTTCGTTTTCGGCAATTTCGGAGTTAATGCTGTGTAGCGGCTGACGTCGGCAGGCTCGTCGTCGGCGCACGTCCGAAGTTGTCGGAGGCAAAATCGTCATGCGAGTTCCTTAGGCGATGACTTTGTGCCAGAAACAGTAGTCACCCAAGCCGGAACAGTCATCGTGGGTGGCGCTGGTCCGACGGCAGGGCGTACAAGAAACATTTCGTGGTGCGACACTGTTGGGCCCCGACAAAAACGGACCATCGGCGACAGTTACCATGCCGAAAAAGTCGGGACTGAGGAAATTGTTGCAGCTGTCGGTGTTTCTCCTGATTCAACGGTCTACCCAACAGCGGTGTAGCAGCGAAGATGGAGTTCCCGAAGCTGCGGAGTTTTAAATGCGATAGGCACGGTGGGCAGCGAAGCGGCCGGCTGAGAGTTTGATATGATAAACTTGCTCTAATTACGACTGTGTTGGCGCCTTCATCGAACGCCAGAAAAATCGCGGGTCAACACGAAGAATTTCTCATCCGACAAAAGCGGACGCTGGGTGAACGGCGGCATGCGAAATTGTCGGGGGGCAAAAGCAAAAAAGAGGAGGGAAAGTTGTGGGTGCCGTTTCAAGCTACTTGAGTGATAAGCGGAGCCCGTGCACCACTCCACCGTGAATTCCGGAGTCTATTCGGTAGACCCTCGAAAGGGTTTGAAAACGTTGCATGGAGGCGCGGCGAGGGGTGTATTGCCAAGGATGCCTGGGATTTGCTAAGTATTTCGACAGGTACGAAGATGGGTGAGCGTCGGAGTACCAGGGTTAAAAGCGGAAATGTCGAGACTTCAAGCCAGAAAATACTTCGGGGCTTGATTCCTCAACCATGATTTTCGGGTGCATTTTCGACGACGGGAGACGGGTCGACGTCTGCTCGCCAACTGTTTTAAGCGTTTTTCGGTGGACTTTGAAGCAGTCTGGGAGAGTTCTGCTGTGAGATCTGCGGCGTCGATGCGCGCTAGGGTCCGTGAAAATCGGTCTCGGAAGACCCATAAGTACTGGGCTCCATGCTGAAAAAGCACCTTCTGTTGGTGGGTAGCTTGGGTGGTTAGCCATACGAAAACAATGGTGACCGGGTGGGCGTGCTAGAAACACCGGTTCTTTCGGGGGGCAACCTGCAGGCGACCAAGAATTTACGTGGGGTGGAAATGTCCGACATTTACGGGTGCAACGAGCAGTTCCGAAAAGAGTTTTAACGAAGTCAGCGGGGTCGCTGACAGTATCCGTACCGACGGCTGACTGCAGCGTCGCTCGATTAAGCGCACGGAGGCACTCGTCGTCAAATGTGTAGCCGTACAAATCGGAAGCTGCTCGGGGGTACCAGCTGCAACACAAGGACGATTTTTTCAACAGGTAGGGGGAGAAAGCGACAGTTGTTTTCGACCCTGCCCGGAGATTTTCGGCGATTCACGACAATACCGACAATGCAGCTGACGTCATCGACAGTTCGAGTTCAACTTTGAAAAAAAATATTTGCGAGGTCAGGGGGAAGAGCAGCAGCTGTTTTTCGCCTCTGCCTGGTACTTCTCGGCGAATATCGACAAAAAACCTCGGCGAGTCTGGACAAGACTGCCAGGGGCGCCGACAGCTGGAGAAGCTACAGCGAGGATTTTCGACACTGCGACAAGACAAACGGCAGCAATTTCGGGACTGCAGCAGCTGACAACTGAAGATACTGCGGCAGCAGGGTGATTCGGTGCTGCCACGCGGAGATTTTTGGGTGGCAGTCTTTTCCAAAGGGGGGAGAAAGTGCTCTCGAACTGTACCTGTCTGTTTTTTCTGACATTTTGTCTGACAGATTCAGCACGACGGACGCTCGCGATCACATCAACGACATCGACGGGTCCTGCTTCATCGACTTCTGACAACGCGTCAGCATTTCCGCCCACGACGTGTTTATCTTGACCGTCCGACAGAGATCCACCACATCGATGGTTCTCATTCATCAACGGCTTTTCAACCCGACATTCGAATTCAACGGCCCGATCGTTATCGGCAGTATCAACGGCTGACATTCCAACTCTTTGAATTTCGCCTAGTCAACGCGTTCAGTCACGCGTCAACTTGACAGTCAACGACTTCTACACCGTCAGATCAGTTTTCAACCGAGATCTGCAGTTTTCAAGCTACTGCAAGACTCGGCTCCGTATAAGGGCACTTTATTTAGAAGGTGGGAGAGTGTAATGAATATACATTCATTACTGTGGAGGTTGCTCCTAGCGAGCACAGCCCGAGCACTTCGCGTCAGGATGGCTCGGCCTACAGTTCCGCACCGAACCAATTCCGAGTCGCCCCGCACCAATTGCGACACTTCCAAAGCATCCACGTCCCGAGGTCCTCGCCTAGCACGGTTTCGACCCTATAAATGCGTGCTTCTTTATCATTCAGTAATTCTGCAATTCATTCTCTTTATAGAAGTCTTCCGCGCACTCTGTCTAGTAAAACTCATAACAATTTCCACCACCTGCACTCCCCTCCCATTCGCCACTTATATTTCCCAACCAACCCTCTTGCGCTCATTTCTAGAAAAAGATGGGTTGTTTGTTGGAAGGAACGTCACGTTGCGATTCACGCTGCTCCAAGTCTTCTCAGCTTTTGCTTACGAACTGAGTAAGCCCCAACATTCGAAGTAGTTACGCAGCGACACGGTTTCTGACGAGTCTTTCGCCATGGATTCCTGCCGCGCCGCTCGTCCTAGCAGCACCGTTACTTCCGCTGACCTGTCAGCGCCTCTTCTCCACCCTGCCCCCGTGCAACCTTGCCCACCTGTTGCTGCTGCTTCTTCCGAAGCCGATGCCCTCGAATCCTCTCCGTCCGCGCCATTCGTGCCTCTCTCGCGCGACTCGCGGCCATGGCGAGATCGGTCGTGGCGCATAGCCTTCCTCTTCCTCGCCATTCTCACGCTCCTCCGCGCGCTCCGCCTGCTCATCCCCGCCCTGCGCGCGTCCCCCGGCCCCTCAGCGGCGCTCGTCACCCTCTCGTACGCGCGCATCGGCGTGGCCGTCGTCGCCGCCGCGCCGCTCGTGTGGGGCGTGCTGCTGTACGTAAGGCGGCACAACAGCCTCGCCATAATTCTGCCCGCACACTTCGCGCTCGTCGCGCTCCTCTTCTTCGTCGGTGCGTTTCTGATTCTTCACCTCCCGCAACTGTTCTTCTCGGACTCTCTAGTACTAAGCACGAGCGCGGGTCCCATCGCCACTTCTGCTGCCGGCGCCGCCACCTCGTCGCACGTTCTTGCTGCTATGAGCACGCTCGCTGCCGCAGCAAGAGCAGCAGCTCGCGCGATGCTGATGGATGGAGTATCTTCCGTTGTCGACGCCACTGCCGCCACTCTCACTCGCTCCGTCACCGCCAGAACCAGCAGCACATGGCTGCTCACTCCCAGCCGCACCGCATCGCCTCCCCTCTCCGATTCCCTCGCCCTGCTCTTCTCCTCATTCCTCTCTCTTAACAACTCCGCACCCCTTACCTCCCCACTGGGCATTCCTTCCGTTCTACCCTCTCCATTCCTCACCTCCCCGTTCCCCCCCACGTCTGTCCTTGCCTCGCCCTTCCCGTCCTCGCCTCTCGTTTCCTCCTCCATGTCGCCGCCCCTCCTATCCCTCGACTCGAACCACTTCATAGTGCACTTCGCCTGCCTCTTCGCGCTCCTCAGCCTAGCCATGCTCCTCCTCCTCTCCCGCCCTCTCAAACGCCTCTCCCTCTCCCTCCTGCGTCGCACCGCCGCCATCCTCCTCTCTCACTCCCAGTCCATCCTCTACTTCGTCCTCCTCCTGCTGCTCCTTCAAGTCCTCGTTACAGCACCACTCGCTGCAGTCGTCAGGAAGGTGGCTGTCCTGTGCGCCATGGTAGCAGGGGAGGGCAAGATTCCTGCCGTGTGTGCAGCGTGGTTGCTTCCACTCCTCACGCAGCTCGCCAACCCACCGCTGCTGCTCCTCTTCCTGCTCCTGGGCCTGTGGGCCGTTGTTGTCTTCTCCATGCTCATCGCCTTCCTCGCTGCTGCTCTCGTGGGCCACGGCGTGAGCGCAGAGGAGGGGGATCACAGGGACGAAATCCGACGTGGAAAGCACTCCGGGGAAGGTGCTGCTGGCGATGGTGCTGCTGCTGCCTACCCTGCTATCGCAGCAGTCGCAGCGGTCCCCACGCGTTCTGTGTGGTCAGCGGTACATGCATCGCATGTGCCATCAGCCATTGGCATCACCAAACGACCCCAGTTCTCACACCTGCCTCTGCTGGGTCACGCGCTCAGGTCCGTCCCTGTGCCGCACACACCTGTTTCTCGACCGTCCCCTGTTCTTCATAACCCCTCTCACCGTGTCTCCCATCTCCGTGCCTCTCACAGCACACTTCCTGTCCGTTTTCTCTTTTTATTTCTTCCTTTCTTTCTTTCTTTCTTTCTTTCTTTTTGTACGTCATTCGTTCTCCGGCCATTATCCCTTGCAACATCGCGCCCTGCACTCTCTCCGCAGGCTCGTCCTCACGCGCTCCCTGGGCACAGCTGCAGCGGTGGCGATGCTGCTCATCGTACTGTACATCCTCTTCACCGCACTCAACACCTGGCTGGCGGTGTACGTGTTTGCGTCCTTGGAGGTGCCGGGGCTGCTGACGGGCTCTGCTGCTGCGCTGCTCACCGTGGCGCAACTGCTGCTGCTGCACGTCCTCACCTGGTGAGCTGACTTCCCGCACTTGTTCTTAGGCCGTGCCTCCTCTCTCCCAACCATCCACTGGCATTTTCGTTGTTTATTTCTAGCAGCCACGCACACACCGGTGTGCACGCATGCGCATGTGCTCGCATGGACACATATGAGCGTGGCCTGCAGCACCTCTCAACTACCCCCTCAACTACCCAAGTCCAGCCTGTCGCAGGCAGCCCATCGCCACCTCCTTGTGCAACAGCCACCGCCCTATCATCCTCCATATCCCTGCCTCCCTTTCCTGCCTCCCCTCCATCCACCCACAGCTCTTCCCCTCTGCCACATTGCTCCGCTACCTTACTTCACCTCTACCCCAACCAGGTTCGTGCTGCCAGTGGCGGGCATCACGGGCAAGGGCGTGTGGGCTTCTCTTGCCATCGCGCTGCGCCTGCTGCCCGCGCACCTGCTGCCGTCGCTCGCCCTCTTCATCTTCACTCGCATGCTCATTCTCGGCCTTGCCATCACCACTGAAACTCTGCTGTGGCTGCTGGTGCGTGCTCGCAGAGAGGGGGGCATGGACACTGGTATGGTGGTGAAGGAGGGAGAGGAAGGGACACTGTGGGGGTGCAAGGGAGGATAACGAGGGGAATGGGGTAATGGGGGATGAGGTGAGGGACGGGATGGGTGGGAGTGGGTGTGGAGAGGGAAGGGTGCTTGCGGTGATATTTCAGTCTGTTTTGGTATGGGTAATCTGCGGGTTAACTAGCGTAACTACCATTCTCATTTCAGGATTGCTGCTAATGACTCCTCATCCCAACCTGCTCTCATAGCATGTATTCCACTTCTTCCTCCCCTCCACCCACCCTCCTCTCTTCCCTCCAACCCCTTTGAATTATGCTTTCATTGAGTCACTGCCACCCAACCGCATCCCCTCTTTTCCTTTCCGCTCCTCTCCCCCATACACCAGGTGCTCTGGCTCACGCCCTCCCCATTGTCCGCGTCGCATGCATGGGTCGTGGGTGCCTCCTTCACGCGCCTCTTCCTCTCCTCCATTCTCTCCACTGCGCTCTCCACCCTCACCCTCTCCCTCCTCGCCTCCGTGCCTGCTCTCTACGTCTACCTTGCGCTGGGAGAGAGGTTGGATGCACGCACAGGGGTGGTACTGGGCAAACAGGGGGATACGAGTGGTTGAGGTTCGAGTGCGTTGATTGAAAGTAATACTTGTAATCCCGTACAGTCCATCAAGTGAAGAACGCATCGCATCATTTTGAGAGGCCAAAGTAAAAGGTTGTTAGCGAGAAGCTGTAGAGGCCCATAAGGAAAGAGTTCATTAGCATTTGAATGTTCTATGGCATACCTTTGCTAGCTTAGGCATCTATCTCCTCCCATGGAGGTTGATAGATGGAGTGTGCATCATACCCAGTTTGTTTGTGAATACCATTACCGTAGGTTCTTGTATTTTGTAATAGTAACCATTATGACATTTTCTGTCAGAATCTGAGTGACTAGACCATTTGGATACCATGGTCTGTTACGGTAAGTGTTGTGAGTTGTAAAAAGAGTGCAAAGAGTAACGTGTGACTCAATGAATTGACTGTTAGAAAATCCTAATGAGAAGGATGTCGATTAGGTAAGGGGGGAGGGGGGGGGTTACAAGACTATCGAGCAAAAAGGTTGTACCCTCTAAGGGCGTGTAACGTGTTCTTACGGCCTCATATCAGGTTACCTCGTATCAAGAATGTACTTTTTGCGTGGTAAAACTAGCAAGAGGTTTTGGGTTTAGGGGAATTTTCAGTGTGAGCCTGTTTCTCTCGATACAAGGTGTAGGAACACGCTCTAAGGATGACCCCTACATAGCCTAGAAAGCTATAAACATAAATATGCTTTGACACACCCCCATAGGTGAAGTATGGGATAGCCAAACCTAACAGTGGTCACAAGACTAGTCAAGCAAGAGAACAAGTAAGGCAAAGGCCAGGGTGGATCTCAAGGACACCACACAATCTGAGCACAAGCAAGCTGCCACAAGACCAGTTCACATGCAGATGTATAATAGCAAGGCAGTATACTGATCACAACCTAGCAAGACTAACCATGCACGTATGAAGATATATAGGAGTGTACAACAAGAGTAACTCAAGCAACCGGCATGTGAGGCAGAGTGGGCACAAGCCCAAGAGCAGTGCAGAAACGCTGATGAGACCCAAGAGCCTTGGTGAAGACATCAGCAGTGTTGGCCTGAGAGGCCACGTAAGCAAGGCAGAGCTGACGACGCTGCTGCAGCTCACGCGCAAGGAAGTAACGAAGAGAAATATGCTTCGTTCTGTGCTCCAGTCTCCGCTCCCGACACAAGGCAAGCATTGCATTGTTGTCGACGTACAGAACAGGAGGAGAACGAGGCTGCTCCCCCAAGTCGGTCAGCAGGTAGGTCAGCCAGCACAACTCTTGTGCAGCCATGGCCCCAACGTAGATCTCAGCCTCGCAGCTGGAGCTAAGCACAGAAGAAGAACGAGTGGACCTCCACGAGACAGATCTGTCAGTAGAGCTACACTGTGAGATCCCCGATCGATCCTAGGGGGGGTTACAGGCGCGTTTGCCTGGGGGGTTATGGGCGCACTGACCCGCTACTGAAACAAGCCCTTTTATCCCAATGGTCTAGTGGTTGGGATTCTGACATGGTATCAGAGCGAAGGTCTCGGGTTCGAATCCCGGTGTATGCACTTCGGGCATCCCAGTGCGGGGGGGTGTCAGAGGTCCACTGGTGATCCCCGATTGATCCTGGAGAGGGTTACAGGCGCGTTCGCCTGGGGGGTTATGGGCGCACTGACCCGCTACTTAACAAGCCCTTTTATCCCAGTGGTCTAGTGACTGAGATTTTGACATGGTATCAGAGCGGTCTCGGGTTCGAATCCCGGTGTATGCACATGTTAGCCGTTGCCACTGTGCTCAGTCCTGAGCCTCCCAGTGTGGGGGGGTGTCAGTAGAGCTACACTGTGAGATCCCCGATCGATCCTAGGGGGGGTTACAGGCGCGTTTGCCTGGGGGGTTATGGGCGCACTGACCCGCTACTGAAACAAGCCCTTTTATCCCAATGGTCTAGTGGTTGGGATTCTGACAAGATCCAGAGCCAAGATTGAAGGTGTAACCCTGCGACGAACGCTGAGTCGCCTGGTTGTTGGCCCAAGAAGCGTCGGAGTGTCCTGTGAGGACCACTCGACCTCGTCCTCCAAGCATGAGCCCCATGCCCGATGTACTGCACAAGTAACGCAGTACCCTCTTTGCAGCATCAAAGTGCACCTTTCGGTGTCTACCAGGTGCCACGTAGGGAGCCAGGAGGCTGAGAAGGTATGCGAGGTCAGGTCGTGTGCACGTCATCAGGTACATGAGGCAACCCACAAGCTCTGGGTACGGACCACTCGCCTCTACGGACTCGTCCCAAGGTGGAGCTGAGAGCGAGTGGCTGGTAGACAGAGGAGTGGGCTGTGGCGAGGTATACTGGAAGTGAAGCGCTGGAGGACCTGGTGCACCATGTGTGACTGAGTCAGGGTGATGGTGCGCCGTGCTCTGTCCCGGGTGATCTGCAAGCTGAGATAGCTGCGCAGTTCAACCAGGTCAGTGGAGGTGTGTCTCTCCTGCAGCTCCGCCTTCACTAGGGCTAGTGCCTTGGTGTTAGCAGTAGCAAAAACCAAGTCGTCGACGTACACGAGGATGTAGAGCGGCGACAGCGTAGTGTTGGTGCGTAGAAACAGTGATGGGTAAGCAGTCGAAGGAGCAAACCCAAGACCCGCGAGTCTAGTCCCCAGTGTGTCGTGCCACTCGCTGGGCGCCTGACGCAGGCTGTATACTGGTCGCCGTAGGCTCCACAATGTACCCTCAGGAAACAACCCAGTGAAGTCCTCTGGACGGTGCAGCCAGATGGCCTCGTGAGGGCTACCCTGCAAGAAAGTTTTCGAGAAGTCAAGGGAGTGCAGCTCGTAGTCAAGCTGAGCTGCAACGTGTAGCAACACCCAAAGAGTGGTCATCTTTGGGGTGGAGGAGAAGGTCTGAAAGAAGTCGACCCCCTCACGCTGACTGGAGCCTCGAGCAACGTAACATGCCTTGAAGGCAGGCGGAGAACCCGGAGTTTGCTTCACCCTGAAAATCCACATGCCACTGACGATGTTCGCCCCAGATGGGGGAACCTTGTCGAAGTAGGTGCCTGTGGACTTCTAGGAAGCCATCTCTGTGTCCATGGGTGTCTGCCACTGAGAAGAGTATTCACCCGAAATCGCCTCTCTGTAAGAGCGCGGGGTTGGGATGTCAAGTGCATCCGGGTCTCCCTGAGGGGCAAGTAGTATGGTCGCGAGATGAGGTGTTGTGGCCGCAAGGCACTCTAGCTCCTCCTGTCTATCCTCAAGAACGTCACAGCCAAGGGCAACCTCACCCCCAACGGACGGAGGACAGGCAGGGTCAGGGTCAGAAACGAGACTCGCAAGGTAGTCTAGGCGGCGTACAGCAGCAAAGTCAACTAGCTCAGCGACTAGGGCAGACGCAGTAGGAGACGAGAACGCAGGGTCCGTTACAACTGTAGCAAGCAAGCGAGTGACAGTCGGACTGGACGCACGAGGAAGGTCAGACGGAGGTTCAGCAATGGCAGGAAGAGAAGACGCAGGGGGTGACGGTAGGTCAACACGCTGTGGAACAGAGGAAGGACAGAGTGTCATATCGTAAGTGCCTGGGATGACCGGAGCACGAGGACGACGCACACGGCGAGCACGAGCAGGAACAGACGCTCTAGTCTCAGGCTCTCGACGCTCAGGAGTGGAAGCACGAGTCTCAGGCTCACGACGCCCAGTCAGGGACTCTGTCACAGCAGTGTAAGGAGCAGGAGCAGGCAGTGGGGAGTGAGGCAGTAGCTGTGGGAACAATAAAGGAGGAGCAGTACCAGCGACTGGGAACTCTATCGGAGCTGGCGGCGAGACCAAGAAGGTGGCGAAGCGCAACAGCAGGTCCAGCACCTCCAGCACTAGCAGTACCTCTCGCACTAGCAGCTCCAGTACCAGCAGCTCTAGCACCTCTAGCACCAGCAGCACCTCTAGCACCATCAGCTCCAGCAGCTCCAGCACCTCCAGCACCAGTAGTACCTCCAGCACTAGCAGCACCAGTAGTACCTCTAGCACCAGCAGCACCTCCAGCATGTCCAGCACCTCCAACAGTACCTCCAGTACCTCCAGTACCAGCAGTACCACCAGCTCCGGCAGCTCCAGCACCTCCAGTACGAGCGCCAACAGTACCTGCAGCACCTCAAGTACCTCCAGCACTAGCAGCTCCAGTATCCCTAGCACCAGCAACACCTCTAGTACCTCCAGCAGTACCTCTAGCACCTCGAGCAGTAACCCCAGCACCTCCAACATCTCCAGCAGGGTCACCCACAGCTCCACCGCCACTAGGATTCGCAGCACCCCAGAGTCAGCACCCCCAATCGCAGCACCCCCAGAACCAGCACCCCCAATCGCAGCACCCTCAGAACCCTCACCCTCTGTCTCAGCACCCCCAGGCTCAGCACCAGCAGTCTTAGCTCCAGAGTCCACAGCAGCAGGCTGCGGAGGCGGCGGAGACGGCCGAGGCGGAATACCAGGGGGGGTCTCCAAGCGTGGAGAGCGGTGAGTGGTCGCCGTGTCGTCAGCGGCGGTGTCACCCCCCTCAGCTGGGGCAGAGGAGTCAGAAGAGATCTCCAAAGGCTCAACTAAGAGGGGTGGGTCTACCTGAGACACTTCTGAGGGAGCAGGACCCTTTGGGGGGAGGGGGTCTACTGGGGGGGGGACTGGTACTAGGAAGAGAGGTGCGAGGGGGACCGGGTGGGACGTGTGCGGGTGAAGTCTGTAGTAACAGACAGACTCGTCAAAGGTGACGTCCTAGGAGGAGAAGACTCGACGCGAGCACGGGTAGTAGAACTGCCACGGCGGGGCGTTGGTGGAGAAGCCAAGGAAGACGCAGGAGAGTGCGAGGGGAGAGCTTGCTCGCGGCGGTATCGCGAATAGGTGAGAGCGCGCCCCAGACCCGAAACACTGACGCATCACCAACCTCTCCTGTCCAACGGAGTGTCGGCGAGGTCTCTGGCAAAGAGACACAGGGCCAGAGGTTGAGCTGAAGCGCGACATATCGGACTGCAAACGACCACAGAAAATGGGGAGCAGCCGCATGGATCATGGA